GCCGTCCTTCTAAAAAAAAACGAAAATGTTTTATATTTAAGTAAATTGCCAATAATTCTCGGTCAAAAGTACTATATTTCATTTCTGTTGAAGAAAGTTTTTTTTGAAAAGAAAGCAAGTGGTTCAGACTAGGGAGGTTGCGAATGTGGAATTTTAGACATCCGCGGATGCGAATGCGGATGCGGATGTTTAAAAGCTAACATCCGCGGATGCGGATGTCATGTATTTTTAAGAAATAATTTAGATGGGTAAATTAGGTGATTTAGGTAAATAAAAAATGGAAAGGTTAATAATTTTTAATAATCTGCCTTAAATAATAATTTGCCCGAAAAAAATTCACCCGAAAATTTGTATTCCGCTCATAGTAAATATGTACATGAAGACCAAAAGTGAAAAGTGAACCGGTTCGGGGAAAATTAAACTCATGATAAGACTGAATGTTTTTTTAGTACTTGAATTTAAAAATTGGAATATTGTACTTAATAAAAACTGTTTGAAGGGTCGTAAATCAAACCTGCGCCTCTATATAACCAATCGCTCGAGGCGACAAACTTGAAAAACTTGAAACTTGGCAAAATTGTAAATTCTTTTCGATTGACACTGCATCAGTTATATTTATTTATTTTTATTGCGGTGCAATAATTACTTTTTGAGAATTTCATCGGGGCTGCAATTGTCGGATGTATCCTCCTGACTTTCATCTCCACAATCTAGCATCATATCATGGCACAATCGTAGTTTAAACGCTGTTTTTTTCGAAATAATTCTTCATTCTCATTCTTTTCGTTGTTTCGGAATTCGTCACGTCATCAGCGTTTTTCGATTTTAGTTTTTGTAACTCATTTTTAATACTTTCTTCTGTGACTGGTTAGATATACGTCTGTGTCCTTGCACAATATTCTAGGGACCGAAAATAACAATTATTTTTTCAGAGTTAAATTTGGCCTAATATTTTTTATTCCGAAATAAACCTCCTATCCGGATAATACAGAAACCGCTTATCCAAATTAAACAAATTTGGTATCATATGAAAGAGGACTGAAATAGATTTTAAAGAAATAACGAATGAAGGTTACCACCTCTATTTATATTTTTTTGTAACTTAATACTAAAGAAATTCATGTAAATACATACCTGACCCAATGTTTGTTCTATGGTAATTAATTAACATTTTTTATTGAAATGTTTTTCAATGTGAGGCTTTGCTCTTTTAGACATTTCCGTTTTACAGCTATTCAAGTCCTCTTTCATTGGATACCAAACTTGTTTAATTTGGATAAGCGGT